TGGGCCGAGTGGGTACAAATGCCAGGGATGGGGGCCCGGATAGATGTAATTCCCCCATTTGTTAGATTAGGAAACCCAGGGTCTGAGAGCCAAGGCCACATAGCTTGTCAGAGCCCGGTCTCAAACCCTGAAGCTCCCCCCCCCCTGCCCCCGCCAAATGTCTGTTCTCTGCACACTCCTGGCTGCCTCTCCACCACCCACACTCGCTACCTGGAGTCTCATTATCGTGAAGGCAGCTCTCCCTCCTAACAACCGACGAACCGTGTCTGACAAGCTGTGGGTTCCTCATGCTGGCAGCGGCATCTCGCTCATCCCTGCGTGCCCCTCGTCTCCCGTAGACACAGTGGGTGCTCAAACCACATTCGGGGATTAATTTGTTCACTAAGGTTCAGGCTTCATACTTTGCTGCTTGCGCAGCACGGGGTTGCTTACAACGAATAAAAGAAATGGAGGGGATACTTACGATAGGTCCCCTCCCGGGCAGTTAGAGCTGTCTCCCACAGCAGGACCAGTGCCCGCCCTGAGACTCACTCCGGAAGCTCAGACGAGGGCTGTGGCCCATGGGGGCCAAGGCCACCGGTGTCCACCTAGCCCCTGTCAGAGTTAGACCCCGAGCCCCCGCCACAGGCTCAGGTAGAATGCCCTTGCCCAGCTAGTCCCAGGAAGAGTAGACAGAGGCGGCCATGGATGATCTGTCCGTGGTGCTGAATTCCCTTTAGCCCCATCTGTCTCCAACCAAGCAACAAGAGCCCTTGGGGAACCAGGTAAAAATACAGTGTCCCTGGCCCTTCCTTTGGAGATTTGAGTTCTGCAGGTCTAGAGCTCAGAGGCCCTGGAATATGTTTTTATCGAGCACCTGTGAGTCTTGGTTCTGGCCCGAGGCGGACTCCCTCACCTACATAGTCGATTGTTGTGAAGTGCCAGATCCTGAGGTAGAGAGATGCATCAGATATGGTCTCTGCTCTGTGGGGAATTTACAACATCATCCAGGACATGTAGGGAGGGGAGGAGGGTGAGTCCTCTGTGTTTTATGTGGACACTGGGCCAGGTACCCCCTTCCACTCACTCTGCAAGGTAAGTAGACGCATGAAAACAGTTGTATTCATAGCCATAGCATTTGTGTCTCCACAGCCCTCTCTGCAAGGCAGCATGGGATGCATTCTGCTCCTTCTCACCTCCTCATGGATCAAGCCCCAGACCCAACATCACTTCCCACATCAGGTCTTCTTGGCCACTGCTGCCCCGCAGACCCCCAGATTCCAGTCCTCCTTCCTGGCATGTCATCAGTGACAGTCTATGCTGTCCCAGCTGGGATATGAGCTCCCTGTTGAGGGCAGGGCTTGCATCTGAGTCCCCTGTGTAGCCTCTGGCACAGGGACAGCCCCCCCCCCCCAAGGTGAGCATCCTCATTGGCTGGCTGCTGGCGAAGTGGTAGTGGGTGGAGGAATGTGTCAATGAAAGTGCTGCTGGTTCATTACAAAGCAGCTGGGACAAGTGCTCAGAACCAAAAGACATCAGGGTGGCCTGGGAGGGGGGTGGGGAGTGAAACTAGGCGACCAGCCAAATGCAGACCAGGCAGGGGTCAAGGTCAGCCTCTCCTTTCTCTGGGCGTTTGGGAAGAACAGGAAGTGGAGTCCGGGCAGCTGTTTCTGATGAAAATAGATGTTCTCCGGGCTTGAATGTGGGGCAGGGGGAGGGGGCAGGGGGAGGAGAAAGGGACGGGGGAGAGGCCCGCTGCACCTAAGTCTGCCGTTCGTTACGGCAGTTTCCAAGCACACGCCGACGTAAAAAGAAGACAAGGAACCCGTGTGCCCGTCACCAGCTTCAACCACGTCCCCAGTTGCTGTTCTCCTTTCATTCTCCCCTCGAGCACCTTGTTAAAAAATTCCAGGTGTTTTATCATTTTACTTATAAATACTTCCAAATGTGTCTCTCGTATGTAACAACATCAAGAAAAACCTCCATATTGTTATCACACCCTAATAAAATTAACTATTTCTGAATCCCAAATGAATAAAGTCCATGTTCAAATAGTCTCATTTTCCTAAAACAAAAACAAAAAAATAATAATTTAAATGTCTTTTCAGGATCCGTTCATTTAACCAGGACCTAAACAAGGTGCATCGATTGTATTTTGTTGTCATGACCCTCAATCTCGCAACTCTCCTTTAGTCCCTCTCCTCCTTTTTTTATAAATATATTTTATTGATTTTTTAACAGAGAGGAAGGGAGAGAGATAGAGAGTTAGAAACTTCCATCAGCTTCACGCCCCTCCACTGGGGATGTGCTCACAGCCAAGGTACATGCCCTTGACCGGAATCGAACCCTGGACCTTTCAGTCTGCAGGCCAACGTTCTATCCACTGAGCCAAACCAGTTTTGGTCCTCTCTCCTTTTTTTATGCCCTTTTACTTGTTGAAGAAATGAGGCCCTTTGCCCTCACTGTTGGCTGGTGGATTGCACCCTCATGGTGTCACTTGGCATGCTCCACTGCTCCCCCCATTTCCAGAAAATGGGTATTTCGACCCAGAGAGCCGCTCTGTGAAGCGTCGGTTATTTTGACAAACAGACTTCCTGGGTGGTACTGGGCCCTCCCTATTGCATCTACCGGGAGCACTTAAAGCACTTAAATCCTTTTGGGAATGTACTAAGAACGACCAGTGTCACCAGCCTGGTCTCCCCATGAGGGAGCTGCCTGCTGCCTCTCCCCCGCAGGTGTTAGCGCCTTTCGCGGTACCTGGAAGCACTCGCAGACCTGGAGAGGCCTGAGAAACCCTCTCACTGATTTTTCTCCTCGTCCCACAGGATTGTGGACCATCCGTCCTCTGCCAGGCAGCGAGCCGCAGGGAACAGAACCCACACGCCTCCTGGAACCGCGGAGCCCCCGGTCAGAGCGAGCAGACAATCACCACGTGAGCAAGCAGAGGCACCAGAGCCTTGTCTGCGAGGCTGAGAGCTCTGCAGAGGTGGCCACTGTGCCATGGCGGCCGGGGGGAGCCCCTAGGAGAGGACACGGGAGCCTGATCCAGCCACACAGAGATGGGGCGCACTCCAGGGAGAGAGCCTGGGCCCCCACCAGGAGAAACGGGGGTGGGAGCAGTGTGCCATGCCTGAGGTGTGGGGAGACCAGCAAGAAGGCTTCTGTGCCGCTGGGACTGACAGTGGCTGGGACCTGGGTGGCGGAGAGGAGAGGGAGGCCAGTCCAGCACCCCTTTCTCCCCCTTTTACAGCCGAGAACGCTCAGCTCAGAGAGGGCAGGGAGGTAATGCTTCTTAAGACGCTGCCCGCACCAGGAGCTTCCTGTGCAGCCTACAGAGACCACACCGCATGCCAGGCACAAGTCAGGCGCCTGTGGCACAGGGCTGTGGACTGGGCGGAGCCTGGCCTCGCAAGGCTCCTGACCTCCAGAGCCACCGGCCCCACACTGCCATGGCCTTGGCAGGGCCAGGGCACCCAAATCTTGGCTCTGGCACCCATAAGCCCTGTGACTTAGACTAAGGAAGGGCCTGCTTCCTCTCTGTGCCTCAGTTTCCTAACCCGCAAGGTGGGAGTGATATGTGCCCCAGGGGCACAGCAAGGCCAAGATGGGGTAGCTCAGCCTTGCCCCTCCTCCCGGGCCCAGCGGGCCACCTTAGTGCAGAGCACAGGCGGCTGCGTGCTCTCCCATCCAGACACACACAGGGTTAAGCCCAGCCTCCGTCCTCCATCCCAGTTCCGGTCCTTGCTGACTCTGCTCCCCCTCCCACAGCTATTTTGGGACAATGGAGGCAGCAGATGGCCTGTTCCCTCCCCTCGACCCTCAGAATTTGGGAACAGCCGGCAAGTCTTACGCTGCTTCTAAAAGCGGGGCGGCAGGCAGCCTTCCACGTGCAGCGCAGAGAGGACCGCGGACCGGACTGCGGCTCTGGAGGACACACCGCCAGCACCGGCTGCAGGCCCGAGGCCACTCCTCCCGCCTCACATCCCACAGACACAGCCCCGGGGGGAGAAGGCTTGGGAGAGCCCAGCTCTCTGGCTCAGCATCTGGCCTGCTGTGTGGCCCCAAGCGCACAGTGGTCCCTCGTTGGGGCTCAGGTTCCCACTGGAGAACAGGGCTGAGGCTCTGGGGGAGCAGCAGGGACCAGTCCTTCAAGGGCTGGAGGGTGTGTCCACAGGAGCCCCACCCCTTAGGCTCTCTCCTCCCCAGCCCAGAGCCCCACTGTGTCCCTGACTCCCCACATCCCTGGGTGGGACGCGGTGGGGAGAAGAGACCTCCCATCCCTTGCCCTCCCCAGCCGTGCACGACTGGCCAAAATGTCCCACAACCACTCCATTCATCCATCCAGGCTCTCTGGGACCTGGCATTCTCAGGGCACTTGCATTTATTCAGCTCCCACCTTGGCTGTCACACACCCCTCCCTCCGCTTTATCCGACACCAGAGGCTGAACCTTCAGCTCCGAGTCTCCACTCTGCCTTCCCTGACTCCCTGGCCTCCCCCAGCCCAGGCCTGAGGGCAGAGAGAAGGAGGAGTAGCTCCCGCATGCCAGCACCTCATGGCACACACATATTCACACACGTGTCCATGCACACACATATTCACACACGTGTCCATGCACACACGTGATAGGGACACAAACTTATACGTACCCCACACGCAAGGCTTAGCGCGGACATGTGTGGAAGAGTACATGCCACACACACCTTGCCACACCATGACTCACACACGCTGAGCCAGGTACCTCCCCTGAGCCAGGCTCTGTGCCATGCCCCACACCGCATCCTTCCGTCCAGACATCAGGCAGGGAGGAAGGCATTCTCTTCCTCATCTATTAGAGCAGGACCATCTAGGCAAACAGGCCAGAGAGACCTAGCAGATTCCCCAAGGCCACACAGCGAGGGCCAAGCAAGGATGGAGATAGCTCAGGTCCCAGTTCAACACCACTGTGACCGGCAGATCAGAGACCCGGCCCCGCCAGGGACCCTTCAGCCTCGGGGAACAAAAAGCCGGGCCAAGAGAGCTGTGAACAAACAGGGGTTTAATTTTCCAACAGAACCAGCTAGACAAGACAGGTTTGGAAGGCTATCCCGGCCTCTGCTTCATGGCCACAAAGGGGCTGCCCAGAGCCAGACATCACGCCCACATTCCCAGCAGGAAGAGGGCGTGCGGGGCTGCGCCACTTCCCCGGAGGCCTCCCCCGTGGCTTTGCTCAGTTCACACGCAAGGGCAGAGCTTCCATAGATTAATGGAAGCGCCTCACAGCTCGGGGAGCTGAGAGAGGGAGCAAAGGGCTCATCCAGCTCGGCTGGGACCCAGGAGGATCCAGCATCGGATCCGGCAGGCCGGTGCTCCAAACAAAACCGGGGTCTGTTAGCATGGGGCGGGAGCACGGAGCTGGAGACTGCCGGCACCAGCAGCACCCGCCACCTTTCCTCCTGGCGCCCGGTGGTGGCAGATCAGGCCCCAGGATCCAGGCGTGAGGGGCGGGCCCGGGGCTTGACCCCCGGGAATGACTGAGAGACCGGAGCTGGGGCTGGGGCCACAGCCCACCCAGAAGCCCAAGTCATTTTGTTGAGGTTTAAGACTCTGAGCCCCAGGCCAGCTCAGTGGCCCTCACCCTGTTCAATGCAGCCACCCAGGGCCCGTGGGAACCCAGCCCTGGAGTCTCTCTGACTTCCCCCGGTACCCGGGCCAGCCGACCCACCTCTCCGGAGTGTGGGATGCCTCTACCACCAGTCACCGTCCAATCCTGGGCTTGCCCACCTCTCGGGAGCCCTGCCAGGGGCTACCCTCCCCAGGGCACTTGCCGCCTCAGGCCCTCAGGGCCGCCTTGGGAGGCGAGGGACAGCCAGAGGCCTCGGCTCAGCCGTCGCCCGGCAGTGCAGGGGTCATCGGGCCACCAGCTGTGGGCACCAGGGCGTGTCAGGGTAGAGGAGGCAATGCAGGGAGCGGAACCTACGGAGAGACCGGAAATGGACAAGCGTCACCCCACTCCGACCCTTACCCTGTGGGCCCCGAGAGTTCGGAGCGGGGTTTCTCCCCCTCGGCACCGTTCCCATTTGGGATGCGAATTCTTCGCTGTGGGGCTGTCCCGTCCGTTGTAGGATGTTTAGCAGCATCCCCTGGACTCTGCCCACTGGAGGGCGTGAGCATCTTCCTAAGTCGTAGCATTCCAACGTGTCTCCAGACATCACCAGCCACGTGTCCTCAGGGGCCAACGGCCCCCGGCTGGGAACCGCTGGCTTAGGGACACCTCGCGGACCTGGGACCTTCTAACCCTGCATATCCCAGTCGGCTCCAGCCCCACTAGGCAGAAATTCGTGGACACTAGAATCTTCGGGCTTAGAGAATGTGACAGCAATTATTAAACCTCCTGGCAGTGTAGCCACAGTCTGCACACCTCCGCTAATGGGGAGCTCTCCCCATTAGAGGGAACCCCTTGTCCCCCAGCCCTAGGGACAGTCATGTCTCACGCCCCCCACCAGGCAGCTGTGCAGAACCTCAGGGTCAGGAGGCCTGGTCCCCCCGCGGGTTACAGACTTCAGATAAATCCAAAGACCCAAGGCCTTGTGGGGAGAGGAATTGGCACCACCCTCCTTTCTTGTCCCACATTCGTGTCCCACTGTCTTCCTCTGCCTCCTGGAGCAGGTCTCCCTCCTGCCGCCATGTGTCCCAGGCTGTGCTCTGAGCTGCTCCCTAGGTGAGCAGCCCCAATCAATCTGGGGCCAGTGTAGGGGCAGAACCGGGAGGTGCCCGGGTGACATCTTAGCCCCCATTCCAATCGTCTACCCAAAGAAAAGAGCCACTGAAGGGAATGAAGGAAACAAAGAGCTGACAAAGATCAATAACTCCCCATCGGTGCCTGCAGGTCCCCCATGGGGGCAGGTCCTTGCTCCAGGGGACCGGGGCTGGGAGAGCCTCCAGACCCACCGCACCCAGCCTCCTGGGGTTACCAGGAGGTTTAATAATTGCTGTCAAATTCTCTAATGGGGAGATTATGGCCCAGAGAGGGCAAGGCACTTGCCCAAGATCACACAGCAAGCCAGTGGTGGAGCAGGGACGAACATCATGCCCTTCACTCCCCACTCTGTGCTGTCAGCCCATGGGCCTCTCTCACACCCCTCCCTCTGGCTCGCCCACCTGAGGGTGCCTGGACTCAGCCCCCATTCCCCCCGTTGGACAGTGTCAGCCCCAGACCCACCTGGAGGGGTCCTCCTCGGGGGAGAACGGGCCCTGCAGCCTAATGACGTTGAGCTTCCCCTCGAAGACGCCGTAGCTGAGGGTGACCTGGGCAGGGAGAAGTGGGGAAGAGGGGGGAGGGTTGAGGGGTGTTCCACTGGGGACCCACAAGAGGGCAGAACTGGGGGGAAGCAGGAAGGCACACAAGGCATTTGGAGGGCACAGAGAGGAGCCTGCCTCTGCGCCTGAAACCCCGTTAGCGGAGGGTGTGTCCCTGAGGAGCCCCATCCCTCCTGCCTGCCCCCCGCCCCCCAGCCAAGCACTCTAAGTGTGAAGCGCACCTTCAGGCCCAAATCCCATCGCAGCCCCAACAGTCAGCTTACTAGGAGGCTGCAACAATTCCCGCATCTACAGGTTGGGAAACTGAGGCCCAAGAGGAAAGGCACCTTCCCAGTGCGCTGTGTGCCTGGTGGAGGTTCCGGGCTCACTGTGGGGCCCCAGCAGACCCCCCTCCACACCCCAGAGCCTCAGGGTCTCCGCAAGCAGCAGGGATTTGGGACAACGACCCCACTCCAAGGCTGTCAAGGCCAGTGGCCATTGACTGTCCGCGTAGGGGCCACCCAACCAGGGCTCCAATCCCTCTGCCACGCACTAACGTGGCCATGGTTAGTTCCACTCTCCGGGCCTCAGTCTCTCCATCTGTGAAATGGAAGTGTGAGCGCCACCCGCATGTACATGTTGTGAGGAAGCAGGGAGTGAAAGAAGATAAGGTCCCAGCGTGGTGCCCGGCACAGCGAGTGCTCTGGAAACCCCCTTAGGGTGCCCTGGTTACCCCATTAGGGTGCCCTGGTTCTGGTTGCCCCAAATCTGGCCCCCTTTCCTGGCTTCAGACCCCGAGGTCCTAATGGGACCAACCCCATGCCCAGTTCCAGGCCGAGGACCTACACTAACTCTGGGCACTGACGAGACGGGTCACATGACCCAAGTATGCCACCTGACCAGAGGGCACAGCCTCAGGATCTGGCAGAAGGAGGCACCCCCGCCTCCGGGTGAGAGAAACCTGGGGCTGCCGACGGGCCAGCACAGGGGCGAGCCTGCCTGAGCACCAGCCGGCGTCGGGGAGGCAGATGAACAAGGGGACAGACTCCTAGAGCCAGGCCCAGCCAGGCCCAGCCAGTCAAGCCAAGCCCTCTGCTTCCCAGGTGTGCGGGCCCATAACCATCCCGCTGTTGATCCAGTCCCCGTTGCTTTGCTATCACTTGTGCCGAAAGGGCTCTGCCTTGTGCTGTTGGAAAATCCCAGGGCCCCCCCCTGGGACCGCCAACAGGGCTGGAACCTCTGAGCTGGAGAAGAGGACCCACCAGGCAGAACCAGTGGGACCTCAGGAGTCACGACCCCTCCCCGAGCCTGACTTCATGCTCAGCGTCCTCACCGAAGACCGGTCCTTCCCAGTAATGTCTGGGTTCAAAGGAAACGCAGCGAGCAGCGGACAGGTAAGCTCTGGTGTAAAAAGGACTCTACAAAGGGCACAGCTGGAAGGGCAGGCCGGTCCCCTCGTCCCTCCGAGGGGAGGACAGTAGATTGAAGAAAGGAGAGGGGGACGGGGGGCAGCGGGTTGGAGCAAGGCTGTCTGAACCCGAAGACAAGCTTCGTCTCATCTGTGCGGGTCCTTCCGGCCGGCACATGGGGACCAGTTCAGGGACCAGTCACATCACAACCCTCGACGTCTGAAGGCGGAGAGCACTGGATGCTCTTACGGGGTCCCCTGCCACCCGGGACTCAGTTTCCCTGTCAATAGGGAAGAACCCCAAACAGGTGCACCTCCCCCTCGGCCGCGAGCCCTGAGCGCTCACCTGCTCCGGGAGCTGGGCGGCCCGCAGCAGCTGCAGCATCTCCAGGTGGGAGTGGAAGAGGGGGCTGGGCTGCAGGCGGGCCCCCAGCTTGCACTCGATGATGTAGCCCACGGTGCAGTCGTCGGGGAGCCGGATGAGCGCGGACGTGTCCACGAAGTGGGGGCCGCTGAGGGGCAGAGCCGAGCTGTGGCCGCTGGCCTGGACCCTCAACACCCGGAGCCCTCCCTGCCGCCCAGAAGGCTCTCCTGGGGCCAACTGTCCCTTAAGACCTTCCTGCTGCCAAGGCCAAGTGCACACACACACCAAGCGCCACCTGCTCTCAGCAACCCCCACCCTCCCCACCCACCTGGGGGTCTCCGCTTACCTGGCCCAGGGGGCCATCTTCAGAGCCAGTTTCCGGTTGATGCAGAAGCCAGCACCCCCAGTGGCAAACCAGAACTGGACCAGCCTCTAGGGGGAAAGGAGGGGCATGAGCAGGGGAGGGGGGGGGAGCAACAGCCAGGCCACCCCTCACCACCACCTAGCATGGCTCCAAGCTTTTTAATTCACACTTCACTGGAGTCTCACTACAGCCTAACATTATTATAGATAAGAAAACTGAGGCCCTTGCCAAAACCGGTTTGGCTCAGTGGATAGAGCGTCGGCCTGCGAACTGAAAGGTCCCAGGTTTGTTTCCGGTCAAGGGCATGTACCGTGGTTGCGGGCACATCCCCAGTGGGGGGTGTGCAAGAGGCAGCTGATCGATGTTTCTTTCTCGTCGATGTTTCTAGATTTCTATCCCTCTCTCTTCCTCTCTATAAAAACTCAATAAAATAGATTTTTTTTAAAAGATTGACTGAAAGCAATAAAAAAAGAAAATAGAAAACTGAGGCCCAACGTCACATAGCTAGCTAATCAAGGGTCTAACCCAGTGGTTGGCAAACTCATTAGTCCACAGAGCCAAATATCAACAGCACAACGATTGAAATGTCTTTTGAGAGCCAAAGTTTTTAAACTGAAACTTCTTCTAACGCCACTTCTTCAAAATAGACTCACCCAGGCCGTGGTATTTTGTGGAAGAGCCACACTCAAGGGGCCAAAGAGCTGCATGTGGCTCGCGAGCCGCAGTTTGCCGACCACGGGTCTAACCAATTAGACCAGTTCACTGGTTGGCTTCCAGTTAAAAAGGGCAGGGGTGCTAGCTGTGTGCCCTGCACACCTTCCCCGCTCCCCAGAGAAATGTCTCCAGCTTCCCCCTGTGGTTTGAGAGGGGCTACCAAACGCAGCACCTGCTCCCCCAGGCCACAGCGGTGGGCAGGAAAGACCACAGGGCCACACTTCTTAACCAGGTGATTGGCTCAGCAACAGGCACATCACTTAAGACCCAACCAATCAGAATCCTTCCCTGAGCTCTCTATGCAACTGTGAGGAAGACATGTTTTCACCAGGCCTGCAACCTATAATCCCGATGCCACCTGCAGGGACACATACACTGACGGCTCTGGCCACTCCTGTCTCCTGGAACCAAGAACACTTTTCCACAAAAGGAGAGAATGAGACCTCTCACTGAGTGAAGAGAACCAGCAGGCCTGTGAGCCGTTGAGGCCAGAAACCCCTTGACATCTCAACCTCAGGAACCAACCACATCCCTTTGGGATTTAAACCACTTTCCGCCCCTGCCCAGCTCCTCTGTAAGGCTCTGTGAATTCACCCTGAAATTTCTCTAAGGCTTTTGAGAAACACCGGGCCCTCTGAGCTGTACCATCCCTTAGTCCAGCAAATTCCGCAAGGTTACCTCCTCCCACGTACACAGCTGTTGCCTCATGGACGCATGTTGCATTGGGTTGCATCTCCCATGATGCAGCAGCGAGAAGAGGCCTCCGCAGGGAGTTGGGGAGCCCGATACGGGGTTCCCTGCTTCCCCCACTTTAAGAAGGTCACTGCCCCCCTCTAGGCCTGATTTGTCACCTGTGAGAGCGACGCTGGCTCTAAATTCTAAAATCCGATGGTCCCCTGGCCCGGAGCATCCTCCTAAAAACCTCTCTGAGCTGACTCTGAAGACACTGCCCTCCCAGAGGGAGGTCAGGGCTCAACAGGACAGGATGAATGGCTTCTTAAGGACCTAAGTCACAGGAGGTGCCCAATAAGTGCTTGTTTGATGCATTGATGACAATTACAGTAACAGCAGCAGTAACCATGCAACCACCGAACCCTGAGCACCGGCTGTGCCAGGGGCTGTGCTGCCAATGAGGGATCCAAGATGCACAGAAGTGAGGACACTTGCCCGAGGTCCCAGAGTTGGGACTAACCCCAAAGCCAGAGATCTTGCCCTTTTTTCTATCCCACAGGGGCTGGTCCCAGGCTCTGAACAGGCTAGGAAATGTGGCACATTGTTGGGGACCGGGCCTGGGTGTGCCCAGCAGGGTGCTGAACCCGCTCAGAGATGAAGGCTGAGTGGGGTACCGATGGCTAACACTTACTAGTGTCTATCACATACCAGATCCCATTCTGAGCACTCACTTGGATAGATGCCACTTTAATCTCTCTCTCTCTCTCTCTCTCTCTCTCTTTCTCTCTCTGTCTCTCTCTCTGTCTCTCTCTCTCTCTCTCTCTCAACCACCCTATGAGAAAGAGACTATTACCACCCATTTCACAGATGAGAAAACTGAGGCACAGAGAAGTAAGGCGACTTCAATCAAGGTCATGAAGCCCAGAGGTGGCAGGGCCGGTGTGTGAACCCAGGGAGTCTGGCTCCAGAGCAGAGGGCAGGGTGAGGTGGTGTGGGAGCCTGGGGGACCTCAACTCACCTGAAATCGACTCACACACACACACCCCGGGGCCCCCGGAGGGTTTAATTAGGACTCAGAGGCTGATTAGCTGCTGATAATTAAGGTTTGTGTGTCTCGCTCTCCTGGTTTCCCTAATGAGGCAGATGGTGACCGCGGGCGGGAGGAGGCAGCCCCGTTTGGGCCCCACGCTGCCTCCGGAGAAGCAGCCACTTGCCTCTTCCTGGGACCGAGGGAGCCCTGAGGCCCGGGCCCCCCACACTGAGCCCCGGAGGCGTCCTGGGGGCAGGTGGGAACGCATGCAACACACCTAAGGTGACCAGACATCCCGCTTTTGGCGGGACAGTCCCGATTTTTAACAATTTGTCCTGTGTCCCGCAGTGTTTTTAAAAAATCCCAATTTTTCGAAAGAAAGTTTTTGAGGCCTGGGCGGTGAGCCAGCCGGCCCGGCAGTGTTTGCACTTTAACAGCCTGTGCAACCACACGGCGCACCAGGCGGCTAGGAGGCCGGCTCGTCCCCGCGCTCGCTGTGTGACCAGGACCAGCCACCGCTCCCCCGTGACCGAGGCCCGGCCCTGTGACAGTCTCTCCGCCTTCCTGGCAGGATCGCAGTCTCCCCATTCCACAGAGGGTCAGAGGTAAAGCCAGCGCGAGACCCAGAAAACCCGCCGCCTCGCCCGCAGCCCTGCCCGCAGCCCGGCCCCGCCCCGAACCCCACGGCCCAGGCGGCCAGGCCCGAAGGGGCAGGGGGGGACCCACCGTGCGGTTGTGGGGCTGCGGCTCCGAGGCGTGGATGGGCCGGTTCAGGCTGGGCCGGCCGACGTAGACGTCCAGCGTCTGCGGGAAGGCCTTCAGCAGCTTCAGCAGCGCCCTGGCGTTGACGTAGTTGTCGTCATCCACGTGGCAGAACCACCTGAGGGGATGGGAGGGGGCCAGTGAGCTTGGAGGGGGCTTCCCGAGGGCTGCCAGCCGCTGTGCCCCCAAAATCTATAACAATAAAAGCATGATATGCAAATCGACCGAACAACCAGACAGCAGAACAACCGTCCGGATGACCACTGGCGCCCACTGGAGCCAGGCCAGGCAAGGCGGTTGCGATGCGACTGGTCGGGGCCCAGCCATCGCCCCATGATCGCCCCAGAGAGGGAGGCCACTGACCAGCCGGCTGCAGCGGGTGGGCGGGGCCTCCTCTGTGGGGGCAATGATCCATCACGGAGCCCCGTGATTGGTCGCCCCACAGAGGGAGGCCCAGGCTACCCTGCAGAGGAACTGCGGTGGGTGGGCAGGGCTCCCTCTGGGGGGGGACCAATCACGGGGCTCCTGGACTGTGAGAGAGCACAGGCCGGGCTGAGGGACACCACCATCTCCCTTCCCCCCTCGTGCACAAATGTTGTGCACCAGGCCACTAGCCAATCAATAAAGAGTTACAGGTGGGGGTGGCTCTGTGCCAGGCAGCATCTGTGTAGGCTCTCGAAGGTGTGCCCATGTAACCAGTGGGCACGAAGACTCAGAAAGGTTAAGACACTTGCCCCAGGTCACACAGCCAGTGAGTGGCAGGATTTGAACCTTGGCAGTCTGCCCAGAGACCTGCCACAGGAGGCCTTCCACGACGAATTTCACCGTTTTTGGCACCACACCGCGTTCAGGAAGTGGCCTCAGGCGAAGGTTACGCCTGCCCTCAGAGACCCAGATGCACCCACCTCAGTCCACTGGCCAAGAAGGCATCCAGCTCAGCAGCCATCTTGCAGGACAGGGCTGGGTGGCTGTGCTCCGCAGAGCAGTTGGTGACCACTAGGTGGGGCCCTGGAGCAGGGAGGACAAGTGTGAGGCCCCTGCCCGCCTCCTCCCCACAGCTCTGCACACAGGCTCCGTGACAGGGCAGAGCAAGGCCAGACCACCACTCCCATTTCCACACGGGGAAACTGAGGCCAGGGAGGGCTGACCTGCCCAGGACCCCACAGCTGATGGGCTTGTCCAGCACAGCCCCTCCCATACCCACACCCACACCCACTTCCAGGGAAGAAGCCTGCTCTGCTCTAGGGCAAAGGGGAATCCCCACATGCCAAGAGCAGGCAGCCCTGTTTTCCAGGGACTCCCAGCCCCGGGCACAGCCACCCTGAGGCCAGGCAGTTACCCAGTCTCTCCTGAAGGCCTGCATCCTGGCTGTCCGTGAAGACAAACGTCTAGGAAGAAGAGAGAGAAGTCAGGATGGGGTAGTGGGAGGCGGGGAGGGTGCCTGCAGCCCGACGGCCCACCCGTCCAGGTAGACGCACACACAGACCTCTCTGCTCCGTCAGGGAGGGGCACGCCCTCGCCCTGTCACACTCTCCTTAGGACAGCCTGACTTTCCCAGCTGCACCCCCAAGCAACACACACACACACACACACACACACACACACACACACATACACACACACACACACACAAATGTGGGGGCTAAAAAACAGTCACACGTTTCCTCCCGCCTTCTCAGTTCTATCTGGGCGAACAATCAAACTACCAGAGAGAGAACCATAGTTTTAACACGTGTGCAGGGGGCATCCACACAAGCATAAACGTTCCAAACACAGTGGGTATAGAAGACATCTCGGATGAAGGAGAAAAGGGGGAGGAATTGGATTTCAGAGGTGAGAACGGGCCGTTTGCAGGTCGTTAAGGAAGAGCAGAGCACACCTGGCAGGAAACAGGAGGGGCTGGCTAACGGTGAAGGTGAAGATTCCTAAGGTGATTGATTGTGTAAAGCTCCCCTCGGAAGGCAGGCAGGAGGGGGGCGGGGCAAAGCCCCTCCCGTCTGTTCCTTCATAAACAGCTTCACATCCAGGCCCCAAAGAGCAGCCACAGGGCGACACGGCTTTGGTTCCCCCCACAAGCCTCCTTTTGCAGACACACACCTTCCCTGTGTGCCCAACCCCTCCGTCTCCCTCCCTCGGCCCCCTCACGGACCAGCACCACAGGGACCCTGTCAGTCACACACAAAACACACAGAGTCCCCCCTGGCTCCTTCCCAGTCACACATGCACATCTCTAAACATGTCTGGAGACAGGCTGTGTGAAAAGACCCCCCAAGCTGGGCGACGGCATCACTCAGGGAGCAGCCGTGGCTTTCACAGCCACGAAAAACACCCTGTGTGAGTGTGGGGGCCCCTCGCATCTCAGAGACCCTGCATCCCGCTCCCTGCAGCTCTCCAGGGGCTTTCCCGAAAAACATGAGACAGGCGCTCCGTCTGTCCCCTCACAGATGGCAAAACGGAGCCGAAGTGACGGACCGAGGCTGTGGCAGCTGGCAAGGGGCGCCGGGATTCAAACCCACAGGCCCGGGACCACTCCCTGACTCTCAAGCCCCGACTACGCCGGAAGGCTCCCAGACCCAGAGCCTCAACCCTGAGCTCGAGCGCCCCAGGTCTGTACTTTCTCCTGGTCTCCCCATCATTCTGAGATCAACACCTTGGGGTCACTCTGCCTCCTCTCTTTCTCTCACCTCCCTCCTTCCCCTAATCCAGTCTGTCAGCTAACCTTTAACCTTTATTTTTTTAATATATTTTATTGATTTTTTTTTTTTTTTTTTTTTTTTTTTTTTTTTTTTTTTTACAAAGAGGAAAGGAGAGGGATAGAGAGCTAGAAACATCCATGAGAGAGAAACATCGATCAGCTGCCTCTTGCCCACTCCCTACTGGGGAGGTGCCCAAAATCAAGGTACATGCCCTTGACCGGAATCGAACCTGGGACCTTTCGGTCCGCCGGCCGACGCTCTATCCACTGAACCAATCCAGTCTGTCAGCTGACCTTTAACCTTTAAATGGCCCAAGACGTAACTTCTCCCCACAGCCTCACAGCCCAGGCCTCGCTGTGGCCCAGCCTGCCCTCCCTGTCCCCTCCTGCCTGCTTTCCCAGTCACCTTTCCCCCAGGCTCCCTGCTCGGTCCTGCCCCCAACCCATGTCAACACAGCCCCCGAGGGAGCCAGCGCGTCAGCCAGGCCGGCCTGCTCCCTGGCGAACCTCTGCCACCAGACAGTGGAACTCTTCTAGTTTGGAGCCCGAGCCAAATGGGCCAGGGAATGTTTGTGGATGGGCGAGTAAGCGGGAATGAATGGGGGGAGAGGGGGGGGGTCCCACAGCGGGGCCTGGGGGCTGGGCAGGGGCATGGGAATCCTGAGGGTGGCACAGGGCAGCGGGCAGTGTCCTTGAAGCAAGCGCTGCATTTGATTTGTTTAAAGAGGAGACCCTGACAAAGGCTAAAACCTCACAGGAAAACAAAGGGACCGGCAGCCTGCTGGGGGGAGGGGAGGGGAGGGGAGCGAAGGGGAGGGGCGGCTGGAGGGCCATCTGCTCCAGAGGAGGGAAGTGAGGGGCCCGCGCCTACCCACCCCTCCCCCCAGCCCCGCCCCAGCCCTGGAGGGGACTGTGGGGAAGAGAAAGGCTCCTCTTGGGTCACAAAACGCGCCTCCCCCAGCCCACCCCTCCTGCCTGGGACAAAGGCCGCACACGAGCGCCAGCCGGGGCCACAAAGGCCCACCTGCCACCCGCCGCCCTTAACCAGCTGGGGTGGGCGCCCAGCCTGGCGTTAACCAGCTCAGGCAGCTCCCGATGGCAGAGCTGGGAGAGGTGCCGAGGCCTTCCTGTCCTGCGCAGATGGGGAAACTGAGGGCTGAGAGCGGGAGGGCCTGGGCCAAGGTCACAGAGAGAGGAGCCAGAGGCTGCAGATGCAGCGCCGGGAGTGGGTCTGGCCCTCCTCCTCCTTCCTCTTTTCACCCCCGCCCGCCCTGGAAGACACGATTGGAGACTCCGCCCCTGCACTGGGGGCGGGGGGGGGGGGGGGGGGCGAGGGGGGAGTTCACTGAGTGAATTCACCCCCCGCCCTGCCTCACTGGCTCCTTTTCCCGGCCTGTGAAATGGGAATATCCACAGCGTCAGCCGGAATATCCTCTGGCCGGTCCAGTCGCTCAGACAGCACACGAACAGGAGAAAATCACATTGCAATGGCTGCACACAGGGAATGCACATGCACACGAACAGGAGAAAATCACATTGCAATGCCTGCACACAGGGAATGCACATGGGCACGAAAATTCCCGAAATAGGGAGGCTTCTGGACCAGAGGGGCAGGCAGGGATTCACAGGTAGATGAGGAGGAGCAGACGTGGGCTAGATTCTGGCAGGGCCTCCAGGAATAACGGACACGACGGGGAGCGTAGGGGAAGGGGCATCTGGGGAAGAGATCTTGGCCTGCGTCCTCCCCGCCCCCTGCCCGTCCCACTCATTCCCGCCCAGCGGCTGTGCTGCGGCTCCTGCCTGGACCAGCTTTTCTCTCCCCGGATCTGAGCCTCTTCCTGGGTACATTTCAGCTCCAAAGCCTCTGCGTGCCAGGGGGCACTTTGTGGGGGCAGTAGAAGGTGCCACCGACCGACCCCGTCATGGCTGCCACGTGGGGCTGTTGGGAGGGTTAGACTGAGGGATGCTCTGACGCTCGGCCCTTAGATGCTGAGTGGGTTCTCCCCTGGCTGCCGGGGTGGCATCTGGGGTTGAATCGGGGACACAGAGGGGTTGGCTGCTTGCCTCTCCTCTCCCGGCTGGAGGCCCAGGATCCTTTCCTATAGCCAGTGACCAGGCAGCTGGATCCCGGCCAAGAGGTGGGGGCTGGTCCCATGGGCTCTGTCCCCTCAGGCCTTCGGGGTGACACACAGGCAAGTACGCACTTCCTCCCCTGGGCCTCAGTTTCCTTGTCCGGGGAAGGGCACCAGCACGGTGATCCAGACAAGACAGGAAGGGGCCTCAGACCACGTGGGGCCACGCTCCCGGCACACACAGACACAGCGCCACAAACAGGAAGGTCTGCGGGGAGGGCCGGGCGCAGGGACTTCCGCCAAGAGAACTAGGAGCTCCCCCAGACGAGACGCTGTGTGTGTGTGGGGGGGGGGAGGCGCAGGGAGGGGCCTGGGCTGCTGGGGGCCCCGTGGGGAAGTGTTAATCCAAGGTGCTAGGACATCAGGGCCAGGAACTTGGGGGAGGGTAATCCTCTCCCCAGGGGGCCCTGGCCTCTTCCAGGCACCACCTGCCCCCATCCTTGGTCCCCAGGAGTCCCCAAGCCCCTCTGAAGGCTCAGTCACTTCCTTCCCTGAGCCACCGCCAAAGTGGTGACAGCATGTGCGTGTCTGCGTGTGCATGCTTATGCGTGCGTGTGCGTGCGTGCGTGCGTGTGTGTGTGTGTGTGTGTGTGTGTAAATATGCCCCCACCTCCCCCAGAGATGGTTCCCAACACCCCAAACCACTGAGGAGGGCGATGGTTGAGGGAAAGGGAAGAGCCAGAAGGGACTCGGCTTGTAGAGCCGCCTCTGGGAGAAACAGAAGCCACAGGCCTGTCACCCACATGCATCTTGTCTGCATGTCTAGCACCAACCCTGGCTCCACACATGTATGTGCACATGTACGTGCACACGCACACACACACACACACAATCCCACATGCTGGGCCAGCCCTACCCTGACCTCTGCCTCAGACACCACCGTCTCAGCACGTCCTCCTCCTCCTCCCTCAGAAACTGGCCACAGGAAGTAAGCACAGGGGCTCAGGGTGCTCCCTGGCACACCCTGGGCACCGGAGCTGTGGGTGCTTCCCCCTCCACCCTCTCCAGACAGGCCCACTTAGATGGTCCCATCCTCAGGGCTCACCCCAGTTCTCCCAGCACCAGGGCCTGCACGGGGGCAGCCTGGCCAGGCTCATGTCAGCCAGGACCCCTTCGAGGCCTCTGCCCCCGCTGCCCAACACCCACCCCTGCCCCCAGTGCCAGGCTGGGCCAGGCTGGGCACGAGGGAATCCCCTGGAGGGACCCAGAGCCTGGGCATGAGCCCAGCGGGGCCCCTAAAAGAGACGGAGCAGTGGGCCCAAGGGCTGGTGCACCCCAGGGCCAGGCAGGGCACAGCCAGGACGGCAGGAGCCCCCGGGTCCTGGGAAGAAGGGGGTGTGGGCAGGTGGGTGAGCCGCTTCTCCTCGGGGCTGCCGGGGACCCCAGCCCACAGAAAAGCCTTCATGAGCCCCGCACGCAGGCCAGGGGCCGCTCCTGGGGCCCAGTCCCCGGCACGTCACCTGTTCCCGGGTCCTGGAGACCCACGTGTCCAGCAGCAGGTCCAGGCGGGAGCGGTGGAAGGCGCGGGTCGTCTTGACTGCAATGAAGACGTCCTGCAGCCGCAGCTCCGGGGGCGGCGGGCTCTGCCCGGGGGCCTCCTGCTCGCCCTTCGGGGACCGGCTCAGGCGGCAGCGGAGGGAGAGGAGCCCCATGCACAGGAGGGTGAGGAGGGCTCCCGCCAGGCCCCGGAGGAGCCGGCACTGCATTGGCCCTGGGACCCCAGACAGCTCGGGCCCCCGAATCCCAGCTGGACGGGGCGGGGCGGCTGGGCAGGCAGGGGCTCCGGCACAGCCAGAAGCCTGGCAGGCATCGGGGGCGGCCAGGAGGGGAGAGCAGCCCGCTGCCTCTGCTCCGCCAGCCCTCCACCTGCTCTGGCCACCCTCCCCTCCGCAGCCCGCCCGCCGCTGGGGCTCCGGCCCCGCCCCTGCCTCCAGCGCAGCCCAAGGGGCGGGGCGGCCCCTGGGAGCCCCAGAGGTGGCCGCAGAAGAGGCAGCTGAAGGGACAGCCCCGTTCCTGCCAGCTGCTGCCATGGGGGTGGGGGCAACCACAACCCGTCCGTCCGTGCCAGGGGGAAGGGAGGAGCCCTCCAGCCTTCCCGCTCCCCAGAGGCTGCCCGCTGAGCTCATTCAACACCCATTGTTTCCTGGTGCCCTGCTCTCCGGCCTCCCAGCTTCTGCCCAGGGTTCCTCCGCCTGCATGCTCTCCCCCACCCCCCTGCGTCCTCACCCATGTTCCCTCCACCAGGCTGAATTCCGTTTGGATTTAAGGCTCAGCTCAAGGGCTCCCTCCTCCAGGAAGCCTTCCCTGATGCCCCTCCCAACGCCCAGGGCTCCCAGGTGGCTGGCTCAGCCCCTTGGGTCTTCACAACAGCACCGGGACTGCCAGGCCCCGTTTAGAGCTGAACACATAGGCACAGGAGGCTCCAAAATGGCCCGGGTGGTGTGGCTCAGTGGTTGGGCATCGCCTTGTGGACCAGGAGGTCATGGTTGGATCCTTGGTCAGGCCATATGCCCAGGAAGCAGGCTCAACGCCCAGTGTGGGGCATGCAGGAGGCAGCCAATCAGTGATTCTCTCATCACTGCTGTTTCTATCTCTCCCTCTTCCTTCTTCTCTGAAATTAATGAAAATACTTTTTTTAAAAAAATTGTTTTCCGTTACACTCTCTCCAGTCCCAATGTAGGGCTGGGTCATAGCAGGCCCAGCTCAGTTCACAGCCACGTGGTACTTCCTTATATGTAATCAATAATATGTATTTGTCCTAGACACTGTAGATTCATCAAATAAAAGAAATCTCTGCCCTGATAGTCTCCTGAGGAGGACAGGCAATAGATCAGTAAAACATACAGGCGTGGGGAGGTGGACGAGCAGTGGAGAGAACATAGTAGGAAAGGGGCCTGGGAAGTAGCTGGGGAGAAGGGATTTACTTATCATTTGTGTGTTGTTGTTTTTTTTAATGTTTTTATTGAATTTTAGAAAGCAAGGGAGAGGGAAAGAAACGTTGATGTGAGAAACACTGATTGACTGCCTACTACATGCACCGCAACTGGGGACTGAACCTACAACCTGGGCATGGGCCCGGTCTGGTAACTGAGCCAGCAGCCTGACCTCTGGGTGCATAGGGAGGGCACTCAGCCAACGGAGCCACATCAGCCAGGGTAGGATCGCAATTTATTTTTTTTTAATATTTTTATTGATTTTTTACAGAGAGGAAGGGGGAGAGAGAGAGAGCTAGAAACGTCGATGAGAGAGAAACATCGACCAGCTGCCTCCTGCAAACCCCCTACCGGGGATGTGCCCTCAACCAACGCACATGCCCCTGACCGGAATCGAACCCGGGACCTTTCAGTCTGCAGACCGACGCTCCACCACTGAGCCAAACCGGTTTCGGCAGGATCGCAATTCAATAAAGTGGTCTTGGAAGGCCTCCGGGCGAAGATGACATTTATGAAGATGACATTCACGGAAGGACCTGAAGGAAGTGCAAGGGAGTGAGGCAGGGACCCTCCCCCAACCCCCACCCACTGCAAAAGCAAAAGTCTGGCAGGCATCAGGAGGGGAGAGAGCTGGGACCAGGAATTGAACCGTGACCTCCTGGATCACAGGTTGACACTCAACCACTGAGCCACGCCGGCAGGGCTGGAGCTAACCCTCTGGGATCACCCCATGCCAGGCCCTTCACAGCTCATCTTCTCAGACCAGCGTCGCCAGGCTTCCTGCCACACGGACCAGGGTTCGAATCCTGGCTGTGTAACTCAGGGCAAGTTACCTGACCTCTCTGAACTTGACTTTCATCATTTATAAAGTGAGGACAACGTAAGACGTGGTAAAAATGAAAAGATTAGTGGACTCCTTCATCCCTGGAAGGCCACCCACCTAACATCGGACCCGGGTCCCACCTCTTCACCCAGACTCTCGGGTCCTTAGACCGAGGACGAGGCACACAGCAGGGAGGGGAGAGGTTCATTCACCCGGATGAGAATGACCCAGTTTCCTCCCCCAGGGAGCCCACAGCCACCCACAGCGGCCCGCCATCCTGCCACCCGGCAGGGTATGGCACGGCCCAGGAGAAGCCCCAGGGGCTGAGAATCAAGCCGGCTACATGGAGATGGTGTCTGAGCCAGGCCCCAGAGGACACAGTATCAGGCAGCCCCAGCCCTGAATGTCCCAGCGTCACTTCCTGCCACTTTCCCGTGGCCAAACACAACCCATTTTCTGCCTCTGAGCCTCTGTTCTTGAGGCTTTCTCCACCTGGCCCCAAATCTCCCAGGGCCCAGCCCAAGTTCATTACTGTTACCGAGAACACAGTCCCCGGAGGACCTTAGGACAGCACACAGGCACACAAGTCCAATAAAGGCTTCTTGAAGAAAGGGACCTCAGCCGGAACGGGTTTGACTCAGTGGATAGAGCGTCGGTCTACGGACTGAAAGGTTCCAGGTTCGATTCCGGTCAAGGGCATGTACCTTGGTTGCGGGCACATCCCCAGTAGGGGGTGTGCAAGAGGCAGCTGGTCGATGTTTCTCTCTCATCGACGTTTCTAGCTCCCTATCTCTCTCCCTTTCTCTCTGTTAAAAATCAATAAAATATATATATTTTTAAAAAGGGACCTCAAACTCAAGTGGCACCTCCTCCAGCAGGCCCACCTGGGTTTCTCCCGGTGGAGGTGACTGACCGCCCCCTGGAGGAGTTTCGGGGGCCGGACTGCACACCGAAGGCTTGCTCCTGGTCCCCTGGACTCCGCAGCCAGGCCCTCAACCCCAATGCCACGCTCTGCTGGCTTCAGGGTCCCCACCCGAGGGGACTCTCCTTTGATGAGCGGACACAAGCAGGGCGAGCTGTGGGCTAACTGTGGGGGTGGCCCATCCGTGGGGCCCTGCTCCGGTCACTCGGGGGCCGGGGGCGGGTAAGGTGATGCCAGCACAGATGGCGGGCGGTCGAGCGGCTCTGGGATGAGTCAGGAGTGAAATCTGACCCTCCCCAAGGGCGAGAAGGAACCTGAAAGGTGGGATCAAGCTGAGCTGGAGGTGGGGACAAGCGCCCCCACCCCTCACCCCCACCAGGGATGCAAACAAGCAGAAGGACACCGCCTTCTATGACAAACTGTTTAATGTTCCGTAATGTGCAGCTTCTGAGTGAAAGGGGCCCGTGAAAACGAGCCGTACATACATTCTGGTGCCGGAGCAACCGGGCCCCTCCCCCCCATCCCTCCGGAGGCGGCCGGGCAGGGGGAGGTGCTGAGAACATGGTCCAGGGTGTGCTCAGCGGGAACACACCCGTGTTAAGTGCCCAAGTGTCAAGGGGGTGGGGGACAGGACATTTACACAGGAGAGAGAACCACGGACACGTGTGTGACCTGAGACACCGCACAGGTGACGGAGGGCCAGGGCAGCCACCACGCCCACGTGGGGAGCTATCCACAGAGATACGAGCTTTCGGGTGGGAGTCACGAAGCGGGGCTCCAGTGAGCAGGGCAGGCCGAGAGCCTGGGAGACCTCGAGCGCCCGGACAGGCACAGACAGCAGCCTGCCCGTGAGGCCGCGGGCGGATAGGACAGTACACAGGAGTGAGAACCACGATGCTCCCCGTAGGCAGTGACGGAGGGACACAGACCCACGCGCGGGGACACGGAGACCTGAGGGCTCACGGGAAGGCCTAGAGCAGCAGGTACAGGCCGGAGGGTGGAAGCTCTGTCTCTGGCTCTGACTCCGGCTCGGCTCCAGCAGGATCACTCAGTGACAGCCCAGAGCTGAGCCCAAGGGGCTTGGACGGCTCAGGACAGGGAGGACGCAGCTCCGCCACAGACACCAGGGTCTCCTGGGGGCATCTGAGCGCGTGAGCACGTCGCAGGCCTCGGAAGGGGCCCTCAGGCCTCGCTGCTGCTGCTGCTGCTGCCCCGGCTGCTGCCTCGCTCCACCCACACGAGGCGGGCCTGCTCCTGCAGGATGCGCCCGCGGACGACCTTGGCCAGCTCCTCCGAGTGGGCCCAGGCGTGGGCGGGCACCTGCACCCAGGAGCAGGGCAGCCCCCAGAGCACCTGCTCCGCGCTGCGGCACTGCCGGAGCAGCTCCGAGTCCCGCCAGCCCGGCCGGCCCAGCAGGCCCCTGCCGAGAGAGGAGAGCGGGCAGTGGGCAGTGGGCAGAGAAGGGCACAGAGATGACAGGGAGTGAGAGAAAGGACAAACACATGGAGGACGACAAAGAGACAGATGGCGAAGGAGGACGGCGAAGAGCCAGACGGAGACGGATGCCCCCGGAGAGGAGGTTCAGGCCTGGCCTCACCTGACTTCCCGGACGTTCTTCTCGGTCACCTCCACGTGGATGACGATGGGGTAGATCTCATTCTGGACCAGCTCCCGCACGCCCCGTGTGCCCAGCTCCAGCAGGCAGTGCTTCTTCTCGGGGGTCAAGGTTACATTTTACTCCGGCCCGGAGACACCCATGTCCCTGCCCCACACCCCCCGCACCGGGCTCCATAGCACTGCCCCTCAGGGTCCTGCCTCCCCATCCAGACGGACCTTGGCAATGAGGAACCAAGGAGGGGGGGACATGTCACTCTGCCTCTCTGGACCTCAGCCTCCACATCTATAGGATCAAGCTACCTCCACCCCCACCCGCACTGTCCCGGCCAGCTCCCAGGACGGGGAGAGTTTGAGGACAAGGAGACCGACGGGCGAGATGGACCAGCCATTCCTGGGTGAGGAAAGGCCCCCGGAAAGGGAGGGACTGCCCAGAGCAGCCCCACCCCAGCACCTACCTTCCCGACAGACTCCTGGATGGCACGGATCCTGCTGCCCAGCCCGGGGGTGGCAGGCCGGGCCTTGGGGGCTCCGGGAGCGGAGGGG